TCATAATTGATCATACACAGCCATGATGATGCCTCAGGCTCCCATGCCTGCTCCTGCTGCTGACCCCATGCAGATGGCAGCAGCAACGCAACAGGCTCTAATCAACCAGCAAGCCCTTGTCATGGTCAGCACTATGATGATCATTTTGTTCACATCCTTTATCACCCCTTCATCCCTCGTAAGGCCAAAGTTTAAATTTCTCCCCTGTCCTCTCAGGCCCAGCAGATGACCATGCAGGCAATGACTCTGTCCCAGCAGCAGGCACAGGAGCAGCAGAAGAAGGAGCAGGAGAGACTGAAGAGGGAGGAACAAAGGCAGAGGGAACAGGAAAGAAGGCAGGAGGATGAGAGAGAACGGAGGCGTAGGTCAGAACGGCGTTCTAAAGACCGTTCAAGTTCACCTCCTCCTCAGTCTCGCTCACCCCCACCTGTCCAGTCCAAAGCATCTGCACCTAAAATCACCCAAAACTACAGTCAGCCTGAGGCAGAGGTATTTATATAAATATATATAGTATAGTTTATAGTATATTGTGTGAGCAACTACTTTTTAAAACACTGTCAGTGTGGTACTTGTATTCAGTTGGTTACTTGCTGTGACATTTTTAAAAAAAATCCTTGCCCCCTTGAATTTCTGAGCATTACTGCCCACTCCCACTTTCCCTCTCTGTCACATCCACCCGCTCCCGCAATATTTGTATCCAGTCCTGCCCACACCCACAGACTCATCGTTTTCACATGGCGTCAGAGCTAGTGGGATGCATCCACCTAGAGGGAAAAACAGTACTGCAGACCTTTGCACTCCTTTGCCATCAATCACAGTTTAACAAAACGCCAGATAGTTGCTGTGCTGTCGAATGCACAAATCTACATTTATTTACAGCTGCCAGAAGAGCGTAAAGTATTGCGCCAACACACCTCTCCTAACCCCACCTTAGGGATTGACCTAATCACACCAATCCCTGCTTCTCCACAGTAACCCCGGCTGCATTTTGAACTGTAGGAATGATTCACTGACACTGTAAAAACTTTACTGTTATGACACAACATTAATGTGACAAATTAATACTTTTCTGGCCCTATACTGTAAATGTCAAAATGAACAAAACATAATTTTTCCATGTGGTAGTTTATTTAAGCTAGTTATGTACTGCTTTCCTTTGCTTTAACTATGAACTGTTTCTTGTTCTTTACCTCCTACATGGCAGCATTTTTTACCCGTCCAGACTGAAATTACAGGTAGCTGTCCGTATTTTGAAACTGTTGATCCTGGCAGCAGTGTAATGTGAGGGATTCTCTACAACATACGCATAGATGTGACTGAACTGGAGCTCGCAAATTATAAAGCAGATTATTAATCAAAAATCCCCAAAATCTTTAGTATTTCAGTGTACAATCTTTTATAAATGACTTGCAAATACATATATATTATTCAATTGAAATGATAACTGACTTGTTTCTGAAAACAGCTGGTCAATACGCTTACAACGTAGGATACAGACAGTGTTTGCTTTAGTCTTTCAATTTGGATTTTTTACCTCAAACTCTGTGAATGTGAAACAATATTGTCATGTCATTATGCGCTTCTTTCTCCTTATCATTTAAATGTTACTTTTACAGCCAGAAACAGAAGTAAACTTAGATCCAGATGAGCTATACTCTGTCAAAGATAAGAGGGACTTCTTCCAGAAGATTGGTGAGTTCAACAGCAAAATGTTCTTTCTTGCTCAAATGACTTAATGTCATTCACAAGATATATGTTTGACAGATTGTTTGCCAACAAGTCATGTATAACATTTATAAATTTCTGCAATAACCTTTTCCCTTTCACCACGCTTTTATCTCCAATGTATTGGTCAGATTCATGCCCAAGAATTTTTCTTGATTCCATATTTTCTTGAATGCTTGATTCATGACTTTGTAAAGCCAGGGGTTTATTCAATTCAATTCAATTTTATTTATATAGCGCCAAATCACAACAAAAGTCGCCTCAAGGCGCTTCATAGATACAGAGAAAAAC